GCCTGCGGCTCTCTGGCGGGCCAGGGCTCAAGGTCAGAGCGCTCACAGCTGGTGGGTTTGCCGGGGCCCTTCGGCATCCCGCGAGGGCTGGTATGCACAAGGACAAGGAGGGTGCTGCCTCAGCAGGCTCCCACTCATGTCTCCGCTTCAGAGCCCCAGGCCTGGCACTTGGGCACCATTGGATGGGTGCCGAGCAGGGCATGACTGCATGCAGCTGGTTATCTCAAGCAGGGGAGGAAAGATAGCTAGTGGTATCTTGGGAGCTGGTCACAGTGCAGTCTGCCTAACATTTCCAAGTCAACTTGATCGCTTTACAAAGAGCCCATGATCCAGGAGTGTGTGTAGCAGGCTGAGCACTTCTTGCAAGATTCTCTTCACTGGGCCTTAACCAAACCAAACTGCGGACCTCTTCACACCTCTGCATCTGCTAGCTGAAGGAAGTAAAATGGAGCTTCCCCTGAAACAAACCACCTTTAGTATATGTTACGGTGCTGGTGTTGACTTCTGTTCATAGCATGATTTAGCTGCTAAGTCTCCACCGCCTTTCAGAAATATTGGGTGTTTGCTTCTTTCTGTTCTGACACTTGATTTCCATCAGCCTGCCAAAGGGTGCTTGGGAGGTGACAGTGGGAACCTATTAGCTCCACTGAAACTAGATCTTGCAGAGATGCTTTGAGAGCAGCTCATTTTATTTTGCAGACCTCATAAGAAGATAGTTAAACATGTTGCAGCAATACCTGTGTTCACCTGGGTGCTGCTTGTCAGAAGGTTTTGCTACCTCAGTTCCTTGAACGCTTCAGGCTGTGTTGATAGGGTAAAGGTGAAGTTACTGTAGCTTTAGACTCTCGTGGCAGAGGAGAAGGGTGGAGAATTGCTGCATGTTCCTCCAGTGACACAAGCCAGATATGAAAAAGCTGTTTGCCTGTTAGGGTAGGAGATCTGTTCTGAGAGAAGATTGTAGCACGAGGTCAGGCCTTGAACAGTTGCCGGGACAAGATTTCTCCCCTTAGTTCTTCCCTGGAAACACCAGTGTTGGGTTGGAGGTTCTTATGCTCTGCAGGCTGTTGTGAAGCTCTCTTGTAGATCACTTCAAAATGGAGTGAACTCAGGGGAAACAAAAAAATCAGCCTTCTCTATTGCGAACCCTGGTTCCAGCGCGCACCCCTGGGAGGGGGTGTGTTCCTGAAATAGTCACTTGAGGGGGAGGGAATGGCTGGCTCTGAGTAGCCTGGCAAGTGCTTGCTTGATTCTGAAGGGCTTAGTTGGTTGTGCTCTGTCCTGAATAAAGCAGCTGGGTGTTCTCATGATGCCTCCTTCTCAGGGGCCTTGGTTTTCTAAATGCAGGTTTCAGTTACATGTTGAAATACTATCTGGCTTCCAAAGCAACCTGCAAATTAACTACTTCTCTTCATTACAGACAAACCTCCCAATTTTCAAATTGAAGGAGTCGTGTGTGAGGAGACGATACAGTGACTTCGAATGGCTGAAAAATGAGCTGGAACGAGACAGTAAGGTGAGGCCCGACTCAGACCTGCCTATTTCTGAAACCAGGACATATGGGAACAGTTCTAGTGATAATCTTGAGCTGCCCAGAAGAGAGGCTGTGGTGGTGGGCAGCTGTCGGGGCTTGATCTCTATCAATGTAATGGAGCTGGAAATGAGTGTCAAACAGCAAAGGATATCCGTTTGCAGGTGACCATTCTCATTCTGCTGACAGGGTGATTCTGTGTTTTCAGATTGTAGTGCCACCACTGCCTGGAAAAGCTTTGAAACGACAGCTTCCCTTCCGAGGAGATGAAGGCATCTTTGAGGAGTCCTTCATTGAGGAGCGGAGACAGGGACTAGAACAGTTTATAAACAAGTAAGCTTGATGTCCTGGGTTTTCTGTGTGCTGCCTTTCTGGCCACTGGTGGTAGAAGAGGGCTGTGGGTTGACTGGGAAGGAGCCTTGATCTGCTGCGCGCAGGTGCAGTGCTAAAGGATGGTGCCTGCAGCCAGGTAATGAAACCACAGTTCTGAAGCAAGTCCTGCCTTGAGTGGTCAGCACTCTCTTCTGAAAGTAAAGCAAATATTAGCAGAATAGCTGTGCTGCAGAGACCCACTGACAGGGTAGCATTGGTTCAGGATGCTCATGCCCTGCTGAAGGGCATGGTGTGGGAGGGAACATCCTCTGCTCCAGCACCTCTTGCTGACCCTGTTGCACACCCATCTGGTGACCTTGGCCTGAGCCCCGGGCGGATGTGCCTGGAGCTGGCTGCCTGTTGTTAGCGAGGAGAGCTGCCTTATTCATGCACTACAGAGAGCAGAGGTGTGGGTGTCTCGGTGGCAGCTGTGCTAACCTCCACATCTGATTTTTTTTTTTTCCCCCCTCCCCCAGAATTGCTGGACACCCACTGGCACAGAACGAACGCTGCTTACATATGTTCCTGCAAGAGGAGACTATTGATAGGAATTATGTCCCAGGGAAAGTGCGCCAGTAGGAGCACCTGGCACTGTCTTCCTCCATTTCACCCTCCCTCCTGCAAAAATGACATTTATTTTTACACTAAATCTGTCTTCTCTGAACCAGCTTTTCCTCTCTTGAACCTCCCAGTTTGTTCAGTATTTTCCTCTTTTGTAATTGGCAGCAGCTTGTTCTACTGGGCTGTGGTCTTGGCCTAAAGGTATGAAGATTTATGCAAGTGTGTTGTCCCACACCTAGGGGCAGATGTGAATAGGTGTGGAGCAGGAACTTGCTTATGGCGTTATGGTGTAGGAGCTGCCTCTCTCCCTGTACAGGAAGGTATGAGATGACCTTCACTCCCCTGTCTGTGCAGCCCCAAGCATCACTGCAGAAGACTCTGAAGAATAGCAGTTGTCATGTTGGTCAGTGATTGCATCAGGTATTAGAGTTTTAGTAAGGCTTATCCAAAACAGTGAGTAGGTGCCTGGGTGTGTTGGTCTCTCATCCACCCCATTCACCCTGCATGAAACCCCCATTCTTCACTGTCTGGAAGTGCTGAGACCCAAGACCTACTCTAGCCCTGCTCTCAGCCTCCTGCATTACAGACCCGTTCAGTGTATTTGTGTTAATCCCCCTCCTTTCTAATGTGCTGCTGGCAGCTCGAGGGGTTTCCATGACGTGTGCTCTCATGATGCTCTGCATAGGCGGTTTGGCATGTGGAAGCTGGGATAGCCTGGGCTGTAGCAGTGTGTGCTGTGATGCCTTGGCCCAGGCTTTAAAAAATGCCACAGCTTGCTCTGCCACAGGCTGGGGGGGGGGTGTGTCCAGCAGCACCCTGCTCAGCTGAGCTCTGGTGACTTAATCCTACACCCCAGCTGCAGAAGGGGAGGAGATGGGTCTGGCTGAGGAGGAGCAGGAGGAGGGCTGATGTGGGCTGTTTTAGTATGCAGCCATGATGGCTGCCACAGGAGCAGCCCAGCAGCGGGGCCTGGGGTGAGGCCGCCCCTCCAGAAAGGGACAGCAGAAAATGGTTGGTCGGTCCTGGGTTAGACGTTTGCTTACAAAGCAGAAGTGACAATGGCTTTTTTTGTGTGTTCTCCCCTGTTCTGCAGTGAGCTAGGCAGGTACTTGTGTGGAAGCGAGGACACAAGACTTGTCAAGGAAGCATTCAGAGCTTGAGGGGGACCACGAGGCTGTGAGTTACTGCAGTGGAACTGTCCTTGGGAGGCTCCTCCAGCTGCCACAGCTGCAATGAGCAAGGTTAGGCCTCAGCTCAGGGGCTCCTCAGGTCAAACCTGCCTGGTTTATAAGTGGTTGGTCACTTTGTGGTGGCACAGTTGAGCATTTCTTGGAGCATAAGCCTGCAGTGACTGCCCTCCTGTTCCTGCCAAGCGTGTCCCCCAAGGCCTCCCTAACATGTCCTGGGTTTTCTGGTGAGGAACTGGTGTTGCTGGGCGAGAGGTGGCCCTCTGGGAGGGAGAGAAGTTGCTGAAACCAGGAGGGAACTGCTCCAGGGGCTGGCTCGGCCCAGGAAGGGCTGTGGGCAGCGTGGAGCCTGGCGGAGGTGGCCGTGCCTGCAGTGGGGCTCAGCCCCTGTCCCCCTGCTGCCGCCAGCCCCCTTTGGGGAGGCCCCTTCTTCATGCCTGTCCTGCCGCGGGACTGCCGCCCGCCCGGCTGTGTCCACCCTGTCCAGTGTAACGTCCCGGTTCCGTTCGCATTAAACCACTGTGAAGCCAAGTCTCTGCCTCGT